TATATATATATATATATATATATACAGTAATAAATCGTTGTCCGTTGCACAAAAAGAGTGCTCAATAACAAATTTAATTGATAGAGCAAAATATACTAATTATAATCTTAAAATATTATTAATCGCTACACAGTGTTTCACGCTGTGAAATCGTTTCAGTGTTTCAGTGTTTCAGTGTTTCACAAACTTGGCTTTAAGATCACTGCCGAAGTTAACAACCAAATCGTCAATTACTTGGACGTAACCTTCAATCTGCAAACAGGGAGATATTCAGCTTACAGAAAACCCAATAACGACCCTCTCTATATAAACAGCCGGTCAAATCACCCCCCTTCTATCATCAAGCATGTCCCAGAATCCATAAGCAAAAGAATATCTAGCTTATCCTCTGATCAATTATCTTTTGATTCATCAGCAGCATTGTATGAAGACGCACTTCACCGCAGCAATTACAACGTCAAACTCCAATATTCAACCAATAGTACCGGCGACACCCCAACACCAAGCAGAAAAAAAACGACAAAGAAAGGTGATATGGTTTAACCCGCCCTTCAGTAAGAACGTAAAAACCAACGTGGCACATAGCTTCTTACAACTCATCGACAAGCACTTCCCACATTCAACTCGACTCCATAAAATCTTTAACTGGAACACTGTGAAAGTGAGTTATTCCTGCATGACCAACATTAAGAACACTATATCCAACCACAATCGACATCTACTGGTAAGAAAGAACAAATCTTTCGATGGATGTAATTGCCGCAACAAGGACGAATGCCCTCTCGATGGTAATTGTCTTACGAAAAGCATCGCATATAAGGCTGAGATTACAACAACAGACGTCGGTGAAACGAAAGAGTATATTGGTATGACAGCAGGGAGGTTTAAAGCAAGATACGCCAACCACAAGAAATCCATCAACTCACCTCGCTATTCAAACGAAACCGAATTTTCTAAGTACGCATGGAAGCTAAAACAAAGTAACCGACCGTATACTATAAAGTGGTCGGTTTTGTCGCATGCATCAGCCTATACAGCAGGTGCAAATTCTTGCAACCTTTGCTTAGAGGAGAAGTTTTATATAATTAAATCTCACAAAGATAAGACGTTGAACAAACGAACAGAACTATTTTCAAAGTGCCGCCACAGAAACTCATTTAGCGCGCGGAATTTTAAACGCACGCGCGCATGATGCAATCGCGTCAGCGGACCGTTGAATGAATGGCGCAAGCAAACTATTTAGAGTAGTATCGCCTGAAGATCGCTTTGAAAGCGTGAAACACTGTGTAGCGATTAATAATATTTTAAGATTATAATTAGTATATATATATATATATATATATATATATATACAGGGTGTATAAAAAAAAACTGAACAGATTTGAAATTGCTCTCAATTTCGCAAAACACCTATTTGTATCCGGTTTTTATATATATATAGCTTCTTTGGGTACTTTTGTACAAATTTTGTGAACCAGGGGGGTGTGTCTTTTCCAACAAACTAAAAATGGCTCGCGCACAAAATTTAAAAGTTTTAATCATATTTTGAGTAAATTTGTTGGGCTTTTAATTACTGTACAAAATTTCAGAGAATTTGGTTTAGTGTAAGCCCTTTAACTAATCACGCAAAGTTACATTTTTCCTAAAAATCAGCTTTTCGCATGCTTAATTAATGCATTTGCCTAATTTGCATATGTCAGCAATATGCAAATTAGGTAAAGGCATTAATTAAGCATGTGAAAAGCTGATTTTTTAGAATTAAATAAATAGTTAAAGGGCTTAAACTAAACCAAATTGTCTGTACAGTAATTAAAAACCCGACAAAGTTTCCATCTATAAACTCAAAATATGATTACATCTTTTAAATTTTGTTGGAAAAGACACCCCCCCCCTGGTCCACAAAATTTGAGTTTGAGAAATTTATTTCATTATTCTACATTATAAGTACCCAAAGAAGCTATATATATATATATAAAACCGGATACAAATAGGTGTTTTGCGAAATTGAGAGCAATTTCAAATCTGTTCAGTTTTTTTTTATACACCCTGTATATATATATATAT